CTACTTCTTTATTTTAACTTCCTCCCCCCTGCGTTCCACTATACCATTGTCTCCATTCTACTTCTTTATTTAAACTTCCCCCCCCTGCGTTCCACTAAACCATTGTCTCCTTTCTACTTCTTAATTTAAACTTCCTTCCCCCTGCGTTCCACTAAACCATTGTCTCCATTCTACTTCTTTATTTAAACTTCCCACCCCTGCGTTCCACCAAACCATTGTCTTCATTCTACTTCTTTATTCTACTGCTTTATTTCAACTTCCCCCCCCTGCGTTCCGCTCAACCATTGTCTCCATTCTACTTCTTTATTTAAACTTCCCCCCCCCTGCCTTCCACCAAACCATTGTCTCCATTCTACTTCTTTATTTAAACTTCCTCCCCCCCTGCGTTCCACCAAACGATTGTCTCCATTCTACTTCTTTATTTAAACTTCCCCACACCTGCGTTCCACCAAACTATTGTCTCCATTCTACTTCTTTATTTAAACTTCCCCCCCCTTGCGTTTCACTAAACCACTGTCTCCATTCTACTTCTTTATTTAAACTTCCCCCCCCCTGCGTTCCACTAAACCTTTGTCGCCATTCCAATTCTTTATTTAAACTTCCTCCCCCCTGCGTTCCACCAAACCATGGTCTCCATTCTACTTCTTTATTTAAGCTTCCCTCCCTTGCGTTACACTAAGCCATGGTCTCCATTCTACTTCTTTATTTAAACTTCTCCCCCTGCGTTGCACTAAACCATGGTCTCTATTCTACGTCTTTATTTAAACTTCCCCCCCCTGCGTTCCACTAAACCATTGTCTCCATTCTGTCTGTATAAAGACCAATAGATAGATAGATAGATAGAAAGATAGATAGATAGATAGATAGAGAGAGAGATAGATAGATAGATAGATAGATCGATCGATCGATACGTAGATAGATAGATAGATAGATAGATAGATAGATCGATAGATCGATAGATCAATAGATCAAAAGATCGATAGATCGATAGATCGATATAGATCAATAGATCGATAGATCGATAGATCGATAGATCAATAGATCAATAGATCGATAGATCGATAGATCGATATAGATCAATAGATCGATAGATCGATAGATCGATAGATCGATAGATCGATAGATCGATAGATAGATAGATAGATAGGTAGAAAGAAAGAAAGATAGATAGATAGATAGATAGATAGATAGAGAGAGACAGAGATAGATAGATAGATAGATAGATAGATAGATAGGTAGAAAGAAAGAAAGAAAGATAGATAGATAGATAGGTAGATAGATAGATAGATCGATAGATAGGTAGGTAGATAGATAGATAGATAAATAACATGTAGCTTCGAAGCCCTAAAATGAAGCTTTTCTGCGAGACTTCCTTCAAAAATGAAGCTTCGAAACTCAAAAAAACAAGCTTTTCTGCGATACTTCCTTCAAACATGAAGCTTCGAAGCTCTAAAACGAAGCTTTTCTGCGAAACTTCCTTCAAAAATGCAGCTTCGAAACTCAAAAACCAAGCTTTTCTGCGAGACTTCCTTCAAAAATGAAGCTTCGAAGCTCTAAAACGAAGCTTTTCTACGAGACTTCCTTCAAAACTGAAGCTTCCAAACTCAAAAACCAAGCTTTTCTGCGAAACTTCCTTCAAAAATGGAGCTTCGAAGCTCTAAAACGAAGCTTTTCTGCGAGCCTTCCTTCAAAAATGAAGCTTCGAAACTCAAAAACGAAGCTTTTCTGCGAGACTTCCTTCCAAAATGATACTTCGGGCACGAATAGGGTCACCAGCGACCACAAAGGGGACGCACCATTTTTGTGTGACAGGTGTGGGACTCCAAGCACACTTGTGACCCTATCTTTTTTACTTCAGAACATAGAAACAGTGAATAGGGTCACAAGCGACCAATGTACCGTAATTGTTAATGCTGCCTAATGCTGGCTAATTGATGGTTTAACGGTTAATTCATGTTACCTTAGCTATAATAATATCTTCAAGGTTTCAGCAACGCACCTTGTAGCTGGTGCTCACGAAGTCACCAACCGAACAGCACCTATTTTCTGGGGTGGCGTAGCCATGCGCTCCTTGTGCCCTCCCACTGCGGTAGGAACAGGCAAAAGTGAAACTGACATGAAATGGATACACATGTTTCTGGCAGAAACTTCACATCGGTGGAAAAGTGAAGTCTTCACGGCACACCTGACAAAATGTCAGCTTCCGTGGGGCATGCTCTCGAATTGTTCGGCAGTCCTCTTTCGTGTGCCAGCGCTCTCCTTTGCTGGTCACCCATATCTCCAGATTTCTGTGCTCTGCCTCATGACGCATGCTCATGCTATCTATATGTTGCACATAGTCAGCCAAATTGGCGTGCAGTTCATCCTTGTACTTCTCGATCTGTGTCTCGAGTTGGCCGATATAGGCTCCAAGTTGCATCTGTTCATCATATGTGATGGTGGCGATGTTAGTCACCTCGCCTCGCTCGGTCTGAGTCTCTTTGTCATTCTGATTGATCTCTGTCTCGTCAGTCACCATGGCATTCTTTGAAATGCAGCACTTGACAAGGAAGTAGAACATGATCAGGAAGATCATGATGGCAAAGGCAAGGACCACGTTGGTCAACATGTCGGTGTACTCATAGGATTGGTTGTAGTACTGACCGATCTTGACCTCAGCTAGGATCAGCGCATCGCTGACACTCGCTGTCGCTCCAGTGATCTGTGATGCGACCACAGTTGAAACATACATAGCCACTGCAGTGCCTCTCGCCACCTTGTTGATCTCCTTTCTCTCCTCAATGCTCTTCTTCTTCGATGCCTTGAACGTGCTGTCGTAGATCAGTTGAAGATAACCTCCTCGAAGAAGGTCACTCATCTGTTGGCGTCCTCCGATCTTTGTCAATCCATCAGCCATTTGTCTCTCTGAAGACACCCACCTCAAGTCTGAGTTTGTGAACTTGAGGCTGTCACGAATCACCAATGTCTCGATGGCAACTCGTTTGTCCAGCGATGACTGAATGGTCTCCTGGTTGATTGCATCATAGAGTGCTCGTGCATCGATCACCACAGCGCTCCTCGAGCCCTTTGCGATGTCATCGCTCTTGATGTTGATCTCAGGATCTTTGATCATGCCGTAGAGCGTCTTGACAATCATGAGCTCGTCAATCGCCGTTGCACAAGCCTGGCTTTCAGCAGCCAAAGAGCTTCTGCAAACTCGGGTAAGCTTGTAGCTCCTCCATGCAATCACACTGTAGCATCCAACTTCTCCGTGTAGGACACGCTTGTCAACTGCCAAAACCAAGAAACCACCTTGGCTGGCCTAGTCTTGCCTCACTCCCAATGCAGCGTCCGAAAACACCACGAAGTGAAGGTCCCTCCAGTCCTGTGTCAAGACTGGGAACCTCAAGACCACATCAGCATTTTGCTTGCTGAATCTCAAAGTCTTGTTCAGCTCGGCCAAGACCTTGATGTCTTTCGAAGCGAGTTCTCCTGCAAGGATTGAAGTGCTCGAACACATGAAAGGACATCCTTGTCCCGCAGGCCACTGAAGTGCTCCAATAAGACCTCTGGCCTTTGACACTTCCTTCTCTGACATGGGCTGGTCACCTCTCTTCTTGTCAATGGTGACCGGCAGCATCTTTCGAAGATAGTCCTGAAAACTCAAGCATAGCTCTCCGTTGTCATACTGCAAGACTCCTCCGCGGTATGCCAGTTGACCATCCTTCTTCAGCACTTTCCACTTGCCAAAGTTGAAGGAATTGTGAATCTCCTCAACTTTCTGCTGTGCCTCCTCAGAGTTTCCATCATAACCGATCAACATGTCGTCGACATGTAGCAGCAGCATCAGTCGTAGAGTTCCACCTTTGTCATACCATGTGAAGAAGCAAGAATCCAGCTTCTGCGGGAAGATGTGCATCAGCTTCAATCTCCTCGTTGCTTCATTGAACCAAAGCAGTGGCGCATCTGAAAGTCCATATGCGCTCTTGAGCATTTTCATGAAGCAAGGTCCAGTGACACCCAGGATGGGGCCACAGTCGGCAGGCAGCCGCACAATGATCCTTCTCTTGAATCCAGAACCGGATCCGGACAAGAAAGCAGCTGTGACATCTCCAACCACCAAAATCCAAAGGTTGTTGCCCGCAATGGTCAGGAAGATCTGTCGTGCAGTGCGTCCAGCCGTTGGACTCGTGGTTTTGATCTTGGTCAGGTCAGGGTCCTCAAAGCCTCTAAGCACCAAGCGTGCTTTGGCACGGGGAAGGCCTGTCTCTTCATCTACCTTCCACGTCAGCACCCAGCGTGCTGTGATAGTTCGGCTCTTGTCGCCCTCTGTCATGCAGTCGGCGAACTCCCAAACCTCGTTCTGAAAGAACTGTGTGAGCTCCTTCGCTTTTGCGGAAGTCATCTGAGCTCTCTCATCAGATGTCATTGCTCTTTCATTGGCCTCATTCTTGCGCAGGTTCTGTACGACCCATGCATCGGCCAACTCCATTTGACCATCCACGATGACCCAGCCGTCAGGCAGCTCATCGACCTCAGTGATGAGGATATCATCCACCACCAGCGAACCATCCTCAGGATCATCAGGAACAGGCACTTCTACGGGCCTATTCACAGCTTCCTCCGTCATGGACGGCTCCATTGTTCTCGCAGTTGGTGCAGCTGATGATGTTCCTCCTCCATCACTTCTGTTCTGTTTGTCCTTCGATCTCCTGCTGGTTGATTTCTTTCTCTTTGCGTCGTTGGACGATGACGCAACTTCTCCTCCGTGATCACCATCAGGTTCATCTCCAAGATCATCATCGTCATCATCATCATGACGAGATCCAGGTGTTGGTTCAGGTTCCTCTTCACTCAGCCTTCGGGCTCTCCTTGGTGTTCTCTCTCTCTCTCGACATCTCCATGCGTCAGCAAACTGCTGACAATGCCAGGCAGTGGCATTCTCATCTCCTCACCAGCCTCTTGCATCACCTCTTCTCCAGCAATGCTCGGCTCGTAGTCATCTGGTTCCTCTTCTTCAGCCATGTCCTCAAGTGTAGGGTCAGACTCGGCAATGTCTTTGAACTGTGTGGTGCTTCGAGCTCGAAGTTCTTGAAGATCTCGAAGTGCTCCTGCAGGATCAGCTGCTGTGAGGCAGCCTTGTTCCTCAACCATTGGTCTCACCTGATGGGGTGAGCATCTCACCAAGCTCGTCCCGTGAGTCAGCCACAGGATCAGCACTTTCCCATCTTCGTTGACTTCTTTGGCAACCACTCTTGCCGGTCCACGCCATTTGGCCTTCTGCAGGATTCCCGATCCAGCTTTTCTCCAAAACCATACCTTCTGGCCAATCTGGACGTCGTCCTTGACCTCGTTGAAGATCTTGTTCATGGCTCTTCTGAGTTTGGCATCAGAGTCGGCGGAAATCCAAGCCCTCTGCGCCATCACACGTCTCCTCTGAACCTCTGCAAACTGTGTAGGCTCATCCAGTGCGTCACAGCCTGGATTGAAGAGCTCTGCAGTCAAAGAGTGAGTTGATGCAGGTGTTCGTCCAAACACCCATTGGGCAGGCGAAAAGCCTTGAACCATGGACATGTTGTTGATCTGGTGGGGCACATAGATGCATGCCTCCTCAAGCGTCTTGATGGTGAAGGAACCCTTCTCCTGCATGTAGTGTTCCAATGCTTTGCGCACAACTTGATGTTTGCGCTCCACTGGGGCAAGCCAATTGTGAGCTTCACCAGGTGCAACTTCCAGTGCGATCCCTCGGTCCGCACAGAACTCTCTGATCAGCTTTGAACTCCAGCCTTTTGCCTCATCGACACGCAAAATGTTTGGGACTCCAAACATCTTGATCCAAGACCTCTCAAGTCCCTTAATGAACTCCTCAGATCTCTCTGTCTTCAGGATTCTGATGGACACATAGCGGGTTGCATGGTCCAAGAAAGTCACCACGCACTTGCGGCCATCATCTGTGTCGATCCAAGCTGAATCAGCCATCACCCTGTCATTGACGTTCCTTGCCGAAAGTCCAGCGGCAGGGGGAACTGAGTAGGGCGGCTTTCTGCTGTAGCATGTTGCACACTTGAACTCCTCTGCAGCCTTCAAGACATCTTGAGTTGCTTGCACCTCCATCAGCATCTTCTTCAAGACTGAAGGTTGTGGATGACCCAACGATTTGTGCAGCCTCTTGACATAGTTGTATGCCTGTGCACCGACTTCTCCTCTAAGTCGTGCATTGAGAAGAATGATGTCATCGTCCTTCTCATCACCCTCGGGTTTCTCCATAACTGCAACACCGTCAGCATCAACCTCTTCTGCTGGTAAGATGGGATCACCATCTTCTTCAGTAGGCTCCTCAGCTAGCAGGTCAGCCAGCTTCTTTGCCAGTCGTGGAGGATAGTCCTCTGCCATAGCTGATCGTACTCCAAAACCTTTTGCGCTCCCCATGATGGGAACATGGTAAGGGCAGCCAGGACATTGTCGCCAAAGTCCAGTGTAGAGCGACTTCTTGGTTGTCCTGAACGTTGTTGGCTTCTTAGCCGGATGCCACTCTCCATGATCTCCAGGAAGTTTCAAGCCATAGGCACACTGATCGACGTAGCAATCGAATCCCTGCATTCTGTTGTAAGCCTTTGTCTTCCATGCTCTGCTCAGGTATGGGTGCTCTGTCGTTGCATGACGTCCTGCTCGACGTTGTGCCTCGTACACCACTGATGTGAAGACCAAGTGTGTGTCATGGTCCACCTTGCGAAGGTTGATCAACTTCTTCTTGCGCACATCGCTTTCAGATGCACTCAGCTCTTGCAACGATGACCAAAGCTTGCAGGCAGGTGTGATCAACACCTCGTCTGGCTCCTCATTCCTGAGTCTCCGCAAGAATGCAGTGCGATCTTTTGCTCGATCAAAGTCCCAGCCGGTCTGGTAGCTGAAGATCTCGGTGTCGACATCTCCTCTCTTCCGAAGACATTCTGTGACACGTCCACGACCCACATAAACTTCCCAGACTTTGCGTCGGGGACTGAAGACTCCATTCCCAAGCGTTCCAGCTTTCGCCATCACCTTCTGCAACTTGTTCTTCTCCATTTCTGCCGTGTGTATCATCTTTGTCAGCACTGATGGCCTCAGTCGTTTGACTGTTGCCACATCCTTCAAAGTGTGAACAAATTCTGTAGGAATTCCCGTCTCATCTCGATTGGGCTCCTCTGCATGCATATCACCGTTGCCATCCTCAGCCTCTCCATCAGACGGGATTTCTTCAACCGTCTCATTCGGTGCTTCTGCATCAGCTTCTGGTGATGCCATTGGAAATGGCGAGTTGGCACATTCGATGATCTCATCCCTGTCGTTGACTCCATCCTCAGCTGTAAGACAACTTGCATCCTCTGGCGGCTCCTCCTTCATCAGCACATGACAAATGTCAAGCTTCGTCGAAAAGTCAATGTGTTCTTCATGATCGTCAGGAACCAAGATCTCGGGCTCCTCATTGACCAGCTCATTGAAGTTCTCAGCCAAACGAATCAAGTACTCGTTCTTGCGTCCCAGAATCACTGGCTTCCATGGTTGACCATTCCAGCGATACTTCCGGTTGCTATAGTCCACAGTCAATCCAAGCTTCTCCAAAAGTGGGCGTCCAATGAGAATCGGACATGTTCCATTGACTGCATAGCACAAGACATGTCGCCTCTTGTGCCCTGCAAAGATCGGCAGCATCAGGCAGTAGTTCGAGATTTCCTTCTGAGAGTTGCCGTACTTGAATCCCTTGTGACAGCTGTACACCTCGATCGACTCCATGGGGTAGTTCAAGTCCATGAGATAGAACAGGTATTGACGCAATGCCACATAGGATCCCAAGAACGAAGCAGCACCTCCGTCCTGCACAGCCACATCCGAAAGGAATTCAGGTCGGAGTGAGGTGTCAATGTGGTCATTGACGGATTCAACCATCATCACATCGTCACCTTGGTCCTCAGATTTGCGTTTGCGATCGCCCTGTGATGGGCAATTCCGTGCTTGATGCCCTGCAGCTCCACAACGAACGCAGATTTGACGTCCGAAGACAGCTTTTCCTCTCGACTTTGCAGTTCCAAAGCTTCCTTTCTGAGAAGGCGAAGAACCTCTCCCCTTCGGTTTGCCTTTTGACTTGCCTTTGCCCTTCGATTTGGAACGTCCGGAACCCTTCATGCCATTCTGGTCCACAAGAGCGACAACTGGGTAGAAACCTCTGTTGACTCTCATCTGGTTGAGCTTGGAGCGAGCTTCAACAAAGTTGGCGAAGATGTTGTCATACTCTTCAGTGTCGAAACCCTCAGTGTCCTGCTCATCGGCATTAAGGTTCTCGGTGTCCTCGTAGTAGCAGGCATCATAGTCAGGCCATTGGTTGTCATAGTCATCCTCATAGTATGCAGGATCTGCCATGTAGTCCCATTGATCATCATCAGGCCATGGAGACGAGGTGAAGGTCTCGTCGTTGTACATCACTGAGTCCTTGGTTCTTGTCCATCTCGACCCTTCCAACTTCGTGTCTTGCCCAATGACGAAGTTCATTGTCTTCTGCACATTGTCGAGGTCCAGCTTTGCATGTCCCACTGAACTCAAAACCATAAGCCTCTGCTCCTTCGAAAGACCACTCCTCCGAAGGAAGAACCATGCACGGACTTTCTCTGGCAAGTCCACTTGGTGAATGGTCCTCAGGCGTCTCTCGGCATGAGTGAACTCCTGAGTGTAGTCCTGAAGTGTCTGCCCCTGTTTTCGGCTCAGGGACATGAAAAACTTCTCGAAGTCTCCAGGCAGCTCAGTCAGTGGATCAAACTGGAAACCCTTGTCAAGTCTTTCAAAGACTTTCCTGTACCCATCATTCGACAGTTGTTCAACATCTAAGTCTTCTACCAAGTCCCATGCACGTCCGGTCATGAGTGTCACCAGGTTGAAAACAGTTTCTTTCGTTCTGCCAGCTAGTTCCATCTTCTGTTTGTATACCTCACATCTCCTACTATATTCTCTGTAGCTCTTGGCAGTGTTGTCGAAGATTGGCACATGTGAGTCAGCTTTGGTTGTGCTAACTCCGGCGGTTCCACCGCCTCCAGATTCAGTCGCCATTGCAGCTAAGGAGCTAGGAGTCTGGCTTTTACCAGCTCCGCTGCCAACTTCAAGGTTTCAGCAACGCACCTTGTAGCTGGTGCTCACGAAGTCACCAACCGAACAGCACCTATTTTCTGGGGTGGCGTAGCCATGCGCTCCTTGTGCCCTCCCACTGCGGTAGGAACAGGCAAAAGTGAAACTGACATGAAATGGATACACATGTTTCTGGCAGAAACTTCACAAATATGATATATTTACCCGTTGGTTGCTGAATTTACAAGGCACTGGGGTACTCCTTTATCAATCACGAATCAACCAAACGGAAGAGCTCCAACAATTGCAGGAGGAGGAGGTAACACCGGGAAACGTGGGAAAATAATGCGACATCAGGTTTTAACTCATTCAGTCTGATTCCAAACTCCAACCTTTGGACCTCAGCGCCAACTACTCTCACCCAAGAACAACCCCCAAAAAAGAACGTTGAACACTGGGCTCATTTGGTTCCAAGTGTCCCTGGATACTCATGTGCTGCTCAACATTCGGCCAAACGCTTCCAAGTTGTCTCAGACCCCGCGCGCCAAGAAAGGCTATAGGAGTTGCTGGCACCACCTTACTCATCACGGTCAATTGCCAGGACAGACTGAAGTCAGGTGGACACGGTTTCAAACTGCACCGTTCCCGGAGGTGTTGGCTCAATCACTGCATCAGGCAAAAAGCTGCAAGGAAGAATGTTGACGGTTTGCCAACAATGCCTTCTTTGGTTTTTCAAAAATGAGTTATTATATAGTTCATATGGCGAGTCTTTCCTTGTCTTTTGCACGCACAGGCAAGAACGGTGACTTGATTGCACGTGCCTCAATAAAAAACTTCTGTTCCAATTGTCGTGAAAGTCCACAGTGGCCGCCAAAGCAATTGGCTTCTAGGCAAGCCCTTCTTGGCAAAGAAACCCATTCTCGAAACTGAGCCAAGCTTGCATGTTCAGGAGTTGCTGGCGCCACCTTACTCATCACGGTCAATTGCCAGGACAGACTGATGTCAGGTGGACATGGTTTGAAACTGCACCGTTCCCGGAGGTGTTGGCTCAAACACTGCATCAGGCAAAAAGCTGCAAGAAAGAATGTTGACGGTTTGCCAAGAATGCCTTCTTTGGTTTGTTAAAAATGAATTACTATATAGTTCATGTGGCAAGTCTTTCCTTGTTCGAATTGTTCGGACTGTCTTTTGCACGCACAGGCAAGAACGGTGACTTGATTGCACGTGCGTGGAGAAAAAAATCTGTTCCAATTGTCGTGAAAGTCCACAGTGGCCGCCAAAGCAAATGGCTTCTAGGCAAGCCCTTCTTGGCAAAGATACCCATTCTGGACATTGAGCCAAGCTTGCATGTTCAGGAAATGCTGGCACCACCTTACTCATCACCGTAAACTGCCAGGAGAGACTGAAGTCAGGTGGACACGGTTTTAAACTGCACCGTTCCCAGAGGTGTTGGCTCCATCGCTGCATCAGGCAAAAAGCTGCAAGAAAGAATGTTGGCGGTTTGCCAACAATGCCTTCTTTGGTTTTTTGAAAATGAATTATTATATAGTTCATGTGGCAAGCCTTTCCTTGCTCGAATTTTTCGGACTGTCTTTCGCACGCACAGGCAAGAACGGTGACTTGATTGCATGTGCCTCAAGAAAAAACTTCTGTTCCAATTGTCGTGACGAAAGTCCCCAGTGGCAGCCAAAGCAAATGGCTTCTAGGCAAGCCCTTCTTGGCAAAGATATTCTGGACACTGAGCCAAGCTTGCATGTTCAGGAGTTGCTGGCACCAGCGTGCTCATCACGGTCTGCTGCAGGACAGACTGATGTCAGGTGGACATGGTTTCAAACTGTACCGTTCCCAGAGGTGTTGGCTCAATCACTGCATCTGCAAGAAAGAATGTTGACGGTTTGCCAACAATGCCTTCTTTGGTTCTTGAAGAAAATGTATTATATAATTCATATGGCAAGTCTTTCCTTGCTCGAATTGTTCGGACTGTCTTTCGCATGCACAGGCAAGAACGGTGACTTGATTGCACGTGCCTCAAGAAAAAACTTCTGTTCCAATTGCCGTGAAAGTCCCCAGTGGCCGCCAAAGCAAATGGCTTCTAGGCAAGCCCTTCTTGGCAAAGATATTCTGGACACTGAGCCAGGAGTTGCTGGCACCACCTTACTCATCACCGTAAATTGCCAGGACAGACTGAAGTCAGGTGGACATGGTTTCAAACTGTACCGTTCCCGGAGGCGTTGGCTCCATCACTGCATCAGGCAAAAAGCTGCAAGAAAGAATGTTGGCGGTTTGCCAACAATGCCTGATTTGGTTTTTTGAACATGAATTATTATACAATTCATGTGGCGAGCCTTTCCTTGTTCGAATTGTTCGGACTGTCTTTCGCACGCACAGGCAAGAACGGTGACTTGATTGCACGTGCCTGGAGAAAAAAATCTGTTCCAATTGTCGTGAAAGTCCTAGTGGCCGCCAAAAGCAGGCAAGCCCTTCTTGGCAAAGATACCCACTCTGGACACTGAGCCAAGCTTGCATGTTCAGGAGTTGCTGGCACCAGCGTGCTCATCACCGTAAATTGCCAGGACAGACTGATGTCAGGTGGACATGGTTTCAAACTGTACCGTTCCCGGAGGTGTTGGCTCAATCACTGCATCGGGCAAAAAGCTGCAAGAAAGAATGTTGACGGTTTGTCAACAATGCCTTCTTTGTTTTTTTGAAAATGAATCATTATATAGTTCCCATGGCAAGTCTTTCCTTGTTCGAATTGTTCGGACTGTCTTTCGCACGCACAGGCAAGAACGGTGACTTGATTGCATGTGCCTCAAGAAAAAACTTCTGTTCCAATTGCCGTGAAAGTCCCCAGTGCCGCCACAAGCAAACGGCCTCTAGGCAAGCCCTTCTTGGGAAAGATATTCGTTCTGGACACTGAGTCAAGCTTGTGTGTTCAGGAGTTGCTGGCACCATCTCAAACACTAAACTGAAATCAGGTGGACACGGTTTCAAACTGCACCGTTTCCGGAGGTGTTGGCTCAATCACTGCATGAGGCAAAACACTGCAAGAAAGAAAGTTGACGGTTTGCCAACGATGCCTTCTTTGGTTTTTGAAAATAAATTATTGTACAGTTCATATGGCAAGTCTTTCCTTGTTCGATTTGATCGGACTGTCTTTCGCATGCACAGGCAAGAACGGTGACTTGATTGCACGTGCCTCAAGAAAAACTTCTGTTCCAGTTGCCGTGAAAGTCCCCAGTGGCCGCCAAAGCAAATGGCTTCTAGGCAAGCCCTTCTTGGCAAAGAAACCCAGTCTCGACACTGAGCCAAGCTTGCATGTTCAGGAGTTGCTGGCACCAGCGTACTCATCACGGTCAACTGCCAGGACAGACTTATGTCAGGTGGTCATGGTTTCGAACTGTACCGTTCCCAGAGGTGTTGGCTCATTCACTGCATCTGCAAGAAAGAATGTTGACGGTTTGCCAACAATGCCTTCTTTGGTTCTTGAAGAAAATGTATTATATAATTCATATGGCAAGTCTTTCCTTGTTTGAATTGTTCGGACTGTCTTTCGCATGCACAGGCAAGAACGGTGACTTGATTGCACGTGCCTCAAGAAAAAACTTCTGTTCCAATTGTCGTGAAAGTCCACAGTGGCCGCCAAAGCAAATGGCTTCTAGGCAAGCCCTTCTTGGCAAAGATACCCATTCTGGACACTGAGCCAAGCTTGCATGTTCAGGAGTTGCTGGCACCACCTTACTCATCACCGTAAACTGCCAGGAGAGACTGAAGTCAGGTGGACATGGTTTCAAACTGCACCGTTCCCGGAGGTGTTGGCTCCATCACTGCATCAGGCAAAAAGCTGCAAGAAAGAATGTTGGCGGTTTGCCAACAATGCCTTCTTTGGTTTTTTGAAAATGCAGGACAGACTGAAATCAGGTGGACATGGTTTCAAACTGTACCGTTCCCGGAGGTGTTGGCTCCATCACTGCATCAGGCAAAAAGCTGCAAGAAAGAATGCTGACGGTTTGCCAATAATGCCTGCTTTGGTTTTTTGAAATGAACTATTACATAGTTCATGTGGCAAGTCTTTCCTTGTTTGAATGTTCGGACTGTCTTTCGCACGCACAGGCAAGAACGGTGACTTGATTGCGAGTGCCTCAAGAAAAAACTTCTGTTCCAATTGTCGTGAAAGTCCCCAATGGCCGCCAAAGCAAATGGCTTCTAGGCAAGCCCTTCTTGGCAAAGATACCCATTCTGAGCCAAGCTTGCATGTTCAGGAGTTGCTGGCACCACCTTACTCATCACCGTAAACTGCCTGCCAGGACAGACTGAAATCAGGTGGACATGGTTTCAAACTGTACCGTTCCCGGAGGTGTTGGCTCCATCACTGCATCAGGCAAAAAGCTGCAAGAAAGAATGTTGACGGTTTGCCAACAATGCCTTCTTTGGCTTTTTGAAAATGAACTATTATATAGTTCATGTGGCATGTCTTTCCTTGTTCAAATGTTCGGACTGTCTTTCGCACGCACAGGCAAGAACGGTGACTTGATTGCATGTGCCTCAAGAAAAAACTTCTGTTCCAATTGTCGTGACGAAAGTCCCCAGTGGCAGCCAAAGCAAATGGCTTCTAGGCAAGCCCTTCTTGGCAAAGATATTCATTCTGGACACTGAGTCCAGCTTGCGTGTTGAGGAGTTGCTGGCACCATCTCAAAAACTAAACTGAAGTCAGGTGGACATGGTTTCAAACTGCACCGCTCCCGCAGGTGATGGATCCTTCACTCCATCACTGCATGAGGCAAAACACTTCAAGAAAG